ATCTCTTAAAAATCATCCACAATATTCACACCATTATTCTTCAAGAATTTAGTTTCTTCCACATATCTCTCAAACTGTTTTCTTCCATATCTCTAAAAAATCAACTCAACAGTAACCCAAGCAACAAAGTTATGAAATGATATTGAATTTATGTTTTGAATAACATACTTATTTTTAATATACTTTTGATGATAAAATCGTAATCATATTTAATGATTTTAATATATAAAATTTATTTAAACAAAAAATTATGCAACAAACAACATAATAAATACTTATAAATGATCTAAATATTCTCAATTATTTGTTTACCTATTTTTTAACAAAACGATAAATCTTGGTAAAACAGATAACTTAGTTGAGGGGTAAATTTTATATAATAAATAATTTCCAAGATACATACATAACTTTAATTAAGAGAAGATACCTAAAATATTACCGAAATCATGCACACGTGAAATATATACATAATCTAACAAACTAGAATAATGGAAGAATTCATTTAACTAGGTCATTATTTAAAAAAATAAACTCTTGTATTTAGAACTAGAATTAGATTGCACCTCAGTTTTATTGGATTGAATTTTGATCCCACAAAAATCGTCATTGTTTAGTGGTTTGTATTTTCAAATTTTGGTCGCAAAGCTAATAGAGTTAAGAATCTTCACGTGACCATTAGGTGATTAAAATCAAGTTGCGTAATTTTTTAATTATTAAGACTTAAAATATTTGAAATTTTTCATTCAATTATTAATAAAAATGTTCGTGACATTTTAATTATTATTATTGTTATTTTATTTGAACAATTAATTATCAAGTTGAGCGCTCTATGAACAATTATAATTCAAAATTTTATAAATAAAATATTTTATTTATTGATATTATTCAAGATTCTTAAATACTTTTATGATTTTCTCAATAAAATTTAAGAGTTTATTTAACCGTAAGTATCCTATCAAATAAGATAACTGTTTCAACAATATTTATTTAATTTTACAAGTTTATTAATAAATATTAGTAAAATATTTAAAATCGATGTTGTTTAGGTATTCCACAGAAAATACCAACAGATATTTCATTGGTATAGCTTCTATTGAAAAGATTCACTGGCTATTCTAATGGTGAGTAAATTTAAGATTTAATATCTCAATTAAAAAATTAGTTAATTTTTACCATTAAATTTCTTAATTTTGAAATACTGATTTTTTTTTTTAGTAACCCTTTTATATGTAATATATCATATCATTTCTTTCCTATTTTTTATATCTTTTCTAAACGATAGAAGCAATATATTAAACCTCAAAGGGGAACAACGTTCGAATACAACCGAGACCAAAGGTCTAATGAGCAAGAACTAAAGCCGAAAACTAAAAATGGGAGGACACGCTTACAAAGCGGCCTAGAGACACCAAATAAAAAGAAGAAAGAAAGCACACCACTGCATCAAAGCCTAGCATACCCACTAACTTCTAGAGACTAACTAGAACAAAGAACCAACACAATACAAGAAAACAACCAAACTGAAAGGACCAAAACAGACCAACACTGCCACAAACAAACAGCAACACTGACACAAACATAAACAGCAACACATCACAACAACCAAGGGTCAAGACCTCACTGCTATCCATTCTTGCCAATCCTTGAGAGCCCTGCTGATGAGAACTTGGACTGGCATCTTCACCTTCTCAAATACCCAGAGATTTCTTTCCTTCCACAGCCACCAAAGAAGGTAGGTGGTTAACTGAATTCTTTCTTCTGCAACTTGAGTGTGCCTGATAGAACAGAGATGCCACCACCAGACTCTGAAATTCATTCCAACTGTTCATACTTCATTCCATTGAATAGGTCCCTGATGCCATAGCTGTTGAGCCCTGGAGCAGTGGAATAAAAGGTGTTCAGTTGTTTCAGGAAACTCCCCACAGCAATGACAAAGGACATCAACAGGGAGGCCTTTCTTGCACAGATTAGTGTTGAGAGGTAGGGTGTTAGTTATACACTTCCAAAGGAAATGTCTAACTGTACCCTTGATTTTGAGGTTCCAACTTCTAAGTCTAGCTTTTTTAATCAATTCTTGGCCTTGGCTAGCTTCTGGGATATCAAGTTGCAGAGTTTTTTGATTGATCAGGTAAGTATAAGTGGAAGAGACAGTGAAAATCCCTTTCTTGCTTAGGCACCAGAAGTATCTGTCCTCTCTAGCAGGATTCAAGGTCTTGATGCTTAGAATAGCCTGGCTTTCCTCTTCATTAAATAGTTGTTTTACCAGCCATTCATTCCAGTGTAACCTATCATCTGACAGGAGCTCCTTCACCCACATAATGTGCCCCTGTGCTATGTCCAGCAGCTTAGGTTTCATAAGAGGGAGAGATGGGATCCAGTTCAGATCTTCAATCTTAGTGAGAGCTCCATTTCTAATTTCTGTTCTGAGACCTTGTTTGAGAATAGGAAGACAGTCAAGCCAAGTATGCTGTTGTGATGTCAAATAAATAATTAGATGTAATTGTACAACTATTACCAATATTGGCAAAATCAAATAATTATATTATTTTTAACTAAGAAAAAATCAATACATTGGTAAAATCAAATAATCATACTAAGAAAAAATTCAACTAGATGTAATTGTACAACTATTACCAATATTAAATATGTGAATTAAAACAAAAAAATAAAACGGTTGTATGTTAAACTATTATTCAATTATTGCTTGAAAGGGAGCACCATAATGGTTGTAAAATGTATTTTTTGTGAATACATGAATTAGTTACTTAATATTTTATCAGAACATGGAAATAAATTCAAATCTTTTTAATATTATAAACAATATAAAACAACATTTTTATCAAGTATATTATTACTATCAAACACGTAAAAAGAACGCATTGCATATAAATGTTCTCTAATTCTTTCAACAAAAAAAAAAAAACAAGTAAACCAATAGTAATGCAATGAGGAAAAGAAAAATTCTGAATTTTTTTAGAAAAGTATGAATACTAATATCAAGAAACAAAAATCTTTTAAAATTACTACTTTTTTTGTTGCTAGCATTTAAGTATATGTTTTCTATAAGAAATTTATTCTCATAAATAATGATTCGATATTATCATAAGATAGACCACAAACTTTAATAATGACTTTATAATAATAAAGTTAACAGATGACTAAGAGTATCATAATATAGTATAATTCAAATTCTTCTCATCTGAAATATTTTGACAAATACTTCTCAATATTGTTTCATTGTTTTGTTTCGTTTTGTTATTATTGAAGAATCAATAAAGGATCTTTATCTTGAATTTTTTAAGCATTAGTTATGATACAAAAGATTGGACAATAAATGTTATTAGACACATATATATTGCAAATCCGAAAGAATATGTAAGGTATCTATCTTCCAAATTAATAACACAAAAAAGGGAATGTTTGATTCTGATCAAAATATTTTTGAATGTTGAATAAGTTGTTACTTTTTTATAAGAATATTTACAATCATAACTGTGTATTGTGATCGATCATACGCGCAATTGTTTTAGAGTACATATTTTTATGTAATGTGTGATGATTTAAAAAAAAATAATTTAGCATCTTCAGAGAAGTAAATGATTTTAGAAAATCAAATTTCGTTTAGAGATGAAATTCGTTCTCACCTCATGGGGTAAGTACCAATTTATCTATGTGGAGAGAGAGAGAGAGACAAATGTAGTAGTTTATACAGTGATTAAAAGAAATATCAAGAATTTTAATGACACAAATATCAAGAAATTTAATGCTACAATTGTTTATTTCACATAGATACTTATGAACTATTAGTAGAAATACCTTATAATGATCATACAATCATAAAGTTTGACTATATGTTTGGCTAAAGTATTTCTAAGTGTTGAATAAAACAGACGTTTTGCCAAATTAATTAAGAAGAATTTTGCAATACTATTGATGTATTAGAATTCAACGAGTGTGAATGTTTCTTATGAGAACATCAAAACCAAATAAAAGAAAATGACTCTTGAATTTAACATAAATAAATAAAATAACTCATGCATCTACAATCTACACTATGTCTTTATTTAGTCATTTATTATTTTTCCATTAGGAACTCATTTTTCATATATTTTTGTTGGAGTTGTAATATGATACTTAAATCTTTTTATATTACGACAACATTTTTTATTTAAAATAAAATGCATGAAAAGTTTATTTATTCTACATTTTATTTTGTTCCTGCAATCATATATATGTGTAATAAATTAATTAATTTATCTTACTAAATTTAATCGGTAAAAAACATTCGTCGTCACGTGCATCGCACGTGCACTTTACTAGTATAGGAAAAAGAGCAAGTCCACACTGTACATATATTCTTGTTGTCTGAAGCTCATTCAACATATTTTATCCAAAAACTAAATAATAAAAAGTTAGTATTGATCAACAATCACATATCCGTCGGCTCCAGCTAAGACACTCCGAACAGAAAACACGAAAGCTGGAAAGAATCATTCAGTATTCCATGTGTTGAAATGAAGGAGGGTTAGTCCATGTCTTGTGTGCACCTGCATTGCATATTCTTACATTTGTGGCTGAATCCATAATTTGCAACAGACAGAAAATAAGTGATAATGTAAAATACTACAGGTTTAGCCTAATTACAACAAAAAAGAAAAGAGAAAAAAATAAAATATAAGAAAGAAAAAAAAAATATCTAGTTACAAGAAGGTTTGGGTAATTTTAGAATTTGAAAGGATATTTTCCACAATAAGAGTAAATGTGAACGGTACTCCCTCCATTTTGAAATATAAGGCATTTAAGGTTATTGCACAAATATTAAGGTGACATTAATTAATGAATAAATTGACTAAATTAACCTTGTTTACTCTAATCACAACCACTCCCCACTTCCTTAATTTCAACACAATGAGGTTATATTTGGAAAAAAATATAAAAATTTGTCTTGATTTTTGAGCGCGCCTTATATTTCAAAAAAATTGAGAAATCTTTATACGCCTTATATTTCAAAATGGAGGGAGTAGCTTTTATCAAAATCATTCACCAAACACAACAAAACTGTTCACCCTTTTCAGTTTTCACACGTATAGCCGAACCATTAAACATTAAAAGCTAAATTCTTCCACATTCAGTTTTTCTTTTTCCTTTTTCCCTTACATTTTCTTTGAACTACTTCTCAATTTTTCTCCAGTTAAATATTGTAATACTCTAATTAATTGTTATTATTATTATTGTTATTAAAATTATTATTATTATGATCTCGAATAGCTTACATATTAAGAATGACGTTTACTTACAGCCTAAGAGGCACCAAAGCAATAAAAAGAAAGTACCTCGTATCTCCACTTCCCTCCATTCTTGGATGAGTGCACAGCAACAACACATCAAATGTGACAAGAAATCGTCAAACCAACCACCCTACAGACATCAGAAATTTAGAATCAATGCAACTGCACAGATAATACTTGTATGCTTAAATGAAAAGCATGGTCTGAATTTCAGCAACTAAGAGATGATGAATATTTTTCATGCATTATCAAGAATGTAGCTCATATGGAATCAATGAGTAAGAATTCCGAAAAATCAATTCTAACTCCAAGAAGCATTACCATTAAGCAGTTATTAACTCTTCCCAGTTGAAACTTGTTTCATAATGTAGTTGCATATACAAAATGACTTTGATATATATTTGGTATAACAAAAACATTGTTATCTTCAATTTTTTTCTAGAAAAAGGAACACCTTAGGCTCTGGTCTAATTACAGGATAAGATTGAGTAACGAAAAGGATTAATAAGCAAATATCTTGAAATTATGAATACCCTTTGACCTCTATTTCTACTTTACAGGGGGGTACTGGCTAAGAGATTCAGACATCAAGGATCTGAAACAACTTAAAGGAATATTTTTGGCTTTGACTACTAATTGGCATTTCTTTGTTCTGCTCCTGTAAACCTCAATGGTAGCTGACGTTACCAATCCTAATCTGTTTTCTAGAATGTTCTACTTAACATTCAGAGAAGAAATCAGTAAGAAACACAAGAATGAGTTACCTTGATATTAAGAGTCCGTCTGAGCTTTCCTCTGAGACAACATGTGTAGCAACAACATGATAATACCAGCGAATATGCCATTATGTCATTACAAGTCTGGGCCGGAGCTGTTGTCATGTTAAAATCCTTTTTTCTGTTACTTCCCTTTCCGAAATTTACAAATTTATTAATGATCGTAATTTAATTATGGTGAAGATTTTGACTATGCATACATATTTCCTTGCCAGTTGCCACGGATGCTATCTTCGAAAGGGTATCACAAGGACAAAAGAAAGTCTTTATACCTGCCATTATACATTTCATGAATTAAAAAGATCATATATATCCATCGCAATACTTCAAACTTAATGGGAAGCTATCCTAGGTTCCCTTCTGGAAATGTTATCTACATACTAATCACAGATGATATTAGCACAAGCTACAGCTAATTGTAATGATACATTGTACTAAATCAAAGAAATTTCAAGCTTAAAGATCTTTACAATTATCACCAAACACATATTGCGAAAATATTCGTCAGGTTACATAACACAGAAGTAAGTAGCCAAGAGAAAAACACTCGAGTGGATATCAGTTAAAAATAATGATCTTCAATGAGATCAAAGAGTATGGCAGATAAGAGTCCAAGGAATTTTACAACAAAAATGATACTCGTAATACTTACACAGTTAACGTAGGCTTTCATTAGTAGGATAACCAATGCATGAGCAGAGTAATCTTATATAAAACAAAGAAATGAAGAGAGTAAATGTCATCAAACTAAAATTTAACACATTTCAGTAGCTACCAACTACATCTTTGAAAAGAAAGAACATACACAAGTAAGGTTCAGAACAACAGCCAAGTAAATCCGCATGCCACTTGTCTTGCCCAGTCACCTCCCTGGTTGATGCTGTATCATAACCAGACGACTTCTTCACTTCCCAACTATATACACAAAAATAAAAATAAAAAAAAATAAAAATAAAAAACAGATAAACAAGAAACACTAAAACAAGAATTCGAAGTAAACAATACTCCCTTAAATAGGACAAAAGAAAAGGGAAAGATCGTTATCATTTAAAATTACAAATAACCCCACTGAGAATTATTTCAAGGGTGTTTTCATAATCTACCAGACAAAATTTTTCTATCCAGGCTAAAGTGAGAGACGAACCTCGAGCTTTTCGAGTTACTGACTTTCCCATGATTCTTTTCACTCGAAAAATGCTCCTTGTCTGAATCTGATGTCCGTGAAGCCTTACGTGGAGAATCTTGGTCACTCTCAGGACTTGCTTCCGCATACTCGGTAACCTCCATTAGGCGTTCGATCACCTGGCACTGGCTCACGTCCATGTTAGCTTGTGAGTGCTGGAGCTCAGCCTGAAGCTTCTCGCGTTCCTTTCTTAGGGCCTTATTGATAGGCACATTCCCATAAGAACAGGACAGGCTTTTCTTCAAGATTATCATGTCGTTTTGGGAGAGGGCAACTTGTACTTTCCTTTCGTCTTCATCTAATGTGTACTCACGCTGGTCCCTCTCAATTTCTTCGAGCCTCTCCTAGATATTAACAGAACTTCCTTATTTTTTTTAAAAAAAAAATCTTTAACAAATTCGGCAAACAGCTTAAGGCATTCCCGGAAGAAGATATTTGCGAGAAAATTAATTTCATTAAGAAAGTATGCAAGTTTTTTGAGTTTTGTCATTGAATCCAACTTGTCCATTCAGTAAAATAGCAAAATATCTAACAAAAGAACCCAACACACAACAGATCAATCAATCAAACTGGCACCATACAATACCCTGAATCTGAGGTTGCTACTGCCTACTAGTGGATTCATCTTCATTTCAATTGAATACTTTAGATACAAGAACTAAAATCCCATATGTTCTCACACTAAATACTAATTTGTGTTATCAGAAAGCCGGCCATTTTTTGACAGTATAAGCAAGCCAACAAGAAGAGGAATCCTTCATCTAGATCACTTTATTCTGGAAATCAAATAATAGAATCTTAGGGATTAAGGGCCACCCATACTGAATATTCCACATAATCACAACACACAACATTAAGATGACTTGAAGCATTTCCAGAATGCATTAGGCCCCATTCACTTTTCACTTCATCAGTCACAAGCTCAAAATAATAATAATAAAAAAGAAAAAAAAAATAAACACACACACAAACACCAACAGACACACACACACACACACACACACACACATTTTCACAAATCAATTCAAGCACCTTTACTCTGGCGTTATCAATGAGAGCAATCAGAGGAATAATCCTCAAGTAGCGATCGATCTCCTCCTGAGCTCTCCTGAACTGATAGACTATGTTCCAGCCCATAGCCATCAAGTAGAGATAGCTCCGCTCCTGGCAGCTGTTGACCAGCAGATAAGCCCTCCTCAGTGCGTCCTCGAGCTGCTCCAATGGCTCCCTCGTCTCCGGGTACCTCTTCAGCTCCGTGATCTTCAGCTGCTCCAGCAAATTACCAATCAATTTCACGTGCTGCGCGAACTGCCTGCAGTTCCTCTTGTGCATTCTCGCCGTGCTCGCCGCCCGGGCTATCAGGCCGATCAACGCGACGGCGTTGAGGCCGGTCAGCTGTATGACGTTCGCCACCTCCCCGAAATGCTCCCATGACGCCATCGCGGCAAGCAATGGCGAGAGCTCAAAGAACTAAAGAGGAAATGAGGGGCTCTAGGGAATTAGGGGGGAAAAAAAATGGCTAATCGAATGCCATAGACAGATGGGGGAATTGTTTGTCTCTACAAACACATGATAGAATTATAACAGTTGGTGGTGGAAAGGGAAAAAGGGGCATTGATTTCTGGAATTTGGGCTGAGGACAAAAGTGTTTACAGGTAGAGAGGTCAATACTTATTTTACCTTCGCTTTTTTTTTTTCCTTTTTAGAAAATATTTCACTATAACTTCACACTCACAGACTTTCCAGTCTCACATTTAAGTGACCAATTTATGAATGGTAATAAGGATCGACTTCAATTACTTAATCTACAAATTTTATTGTAATGTGCGTATATTCTTTTACATCTAATATGAAATAACAGTATATTAATGTGTGTATTCTATTCTCTCCCAAATATTAAAATGCTTCAATAATCTTTTCACGATATTCCGAGCAAGTGTTGTATATCGAGATCGCTTCAATTATCTTGGTGTATAATTTTTTTGGATGGTCGTGATTGAAACATCATGAGGGTCCTTGGACTGTCATAACATGGCTTACTTCAACCACCAAACAAAAAAAATCTAAAGAAAAGCATATCAAAAACCAAGAAAAGGATCCAATGTTGTTTGTTGCATGATTCGATCACATCCCGTTTGGTGTGTGACATTTGGAAGAAGCACATTTTGATTGCACTTGGAAAGTTCTATGATGATTGCACTTGGTGCAAAAGAAATGTAGGGTATATATAAATGTTCATAGATGGAATCATTGGTAAAGCAGATATATTAATCGCCAAAATTAATAAAGGTGGATTGGATTGTTGTATTTCATTGTCCATAGATATGCTAATTTTGTCCATTTATCTATCAATTACAGACAGATATTTCACAAGATTTTGGTTTTATATCATGAGTGATTGAATAGTTGTAACTAGTGCGTGGCCCGTGCGATGCACGGAAAAAACAATATTAAGATTGTAATAAATTAAATATAAAATAACATTAATCATGATTTATCTATTGTTTTTAAATTAAACCGTGTTGGACACAGTCTGACCGGATGGACTGAGAACCGGTTTATAACCAGTCTAGTTTGCTTGAATAAAATATTTGCTCTCAAATCCGTCAACACCAGTCGGTTGGACTGGTAGGATCGATACGATTTTCTAAATAAATTTTGTTATATTTAAAATTATTTTAAATAAAACTACATATTTAAATAAAATAGAGATTTATACATTATTTATCAATTTGTTTAAACACTTGAATTTATAAATTGTTTAGATATCTAAGTAACACATTTTATTTAAATTTATTACAAAAAATACTATATATAGCTTGATAGTTTGAAAACCTTATATTTACTATACGTTAATAAATATTATAATAAAATATTATTTAATTCACATAAATATTAATAAAATGATATATAAATATTCATAAATCATTAAACATGTTGTCATAAAAGTATTGTTAATACGATTATTTGAAGTGTCGACTACATCACATTCACGTAATAAAATATTTTCAATATAAAATTTATATTTAGGTTCAATAATCGATTTGGTGTGGTCGAACTGATACATAACTTAATCACTTGGGACCAACCATGTTGTGTCAAGTTTTTTGACTATTTTAAATATCACATAAAAGTAATTCAATCAACCTGGGCAGTACCCTAATTCAATCATCCAATTGATCCGAAGAAATTTTCTTAGTTTCTTTAAATATATTTAATTTTATGAAATAAAAATATATTATGATTCATATAATAAATGTTTACACCAAATGATAGTATATTAAGATTATAAATTATATATCTAAAGATGAATTAATTATTTTTACTTTATGCATATTATAAAAAATAAGCATAGTAAATTTTTAAAAATTAAGATTAATTGATTAATTATGCAATTTAAAGAATATTTTTAGCGTTCATTTTTTTTTCAAAAAAGCACAAATATAAAGACCGAGATTCTAAAACTTTTGTTATATTTTGAATTAAGATTTTATAAATATAGAGACCGAGATTTTAATATTGTTGGTTGTTTCTAAGAAAAAATAAATATAAAAACATACGCACTTAATAAATATTAGCCGAATTTTTTAAATAATAAAATAAATTAAAGCTCGAAATTTAAGGTAACATTTAATGTTGTATGATTTTTAAAGAAAAAATAAAAAAAATAATAAAACTTACTATTTATAGGTTGCATTAAATTCTGACTATTTTTTTGCTACTATTTTTGGTAAATGTTAATTCTTATTATATATATATATATAGATTACGTGGAACTCTTAAAATCTTGTGATGTTTGTTAGAAGTTGCCTATCTTTTGGAACAAGATAGACTCGGGCAAAAGAAAGTTTAAAGCTTGTGCATATATTGGGAGGAATTATTATTTTATTAATATTTTTTTCGGTTAAAAAATATTAGTTTTAGGTAAATTATAGAAATAGTATATACATTATTCTATTCAAAATTGAATTTCAAATCTGACTTTTAAGTAATTATTCTAATGCTAAAATGTGTACCATATAATGTGGTATACTATTACACAATTTTATTTTTAATAATATTATTTTATATATGCAATTTGGATTTCTTATTTACGTACTCAGTAAGCGTGCGGTACTAGTTTGTATAAAGAATAAAGATAGTCAACTTAAGTAGATTTTGGTGTGACTTTTTGTATCTGACTTAGTTGCTATCATGATGTGGTCACCGAGGAATGTGACCCTCTAAAAGCATACTAATGTGCGCATGTGTTATTACAGTTACAAAGGAATTTGACCCATAGCGAAACAAGTGGCCACTTCTAGTCTTCTAGCAGTTAACCTCAATTTTTTAAATAAAAACATCACTTATGTCAAAATGTTCTATTAATTAATAAATAATTATTATTTAAAATCAACAAAGAAAAAGAAAAATGTAAAATATGAATGCGGGAGTCGAAAAACCAATTTAATCTTCTCTATTTGATTTACCATACCTCGAAAGACTTCAATTCGAAAATAATTTTATATTGAAAAAATATTTAATGTCAATTAAAATTTGTGCCTACCTTTTTAATAAATAAATAAATAATTTGTGCTTTTTGAATTTTATATACTTTTACATTAAATCAACTATAATTATTTTATTTGACATATTATTTTAATACAAATTCAAAATTTCTCTCAAACTTAACTCAATCAACTTTTTTAAATTAGTTATTGTTAAAAAAATTAATCAAAACCAAAATATCAAATCACTAACTTAAAGCACACCCTAGAATTCTATTTCTCATCCCTAATATGTAAAATAATGGTCCAAAAGTTCTATAGAGTAGAGTTCTCGTGCTAAACCATAATATCTCCAAACAAATTCTTGAACGACTCTATTTATAAATTTTATTGTTTTGTACTTATTACACAAGTGGTTTGAGAAATCAAACACCTAATCTAACAATAGGCCGGGGTACTTGATATGGGTTTTTTATTTCCTAAAAGACAAAAAATGAAAAATAAAAAGGAAGAAGATATTATTATCTCCATCTTGATTAAGTCAAATAATCCCGACTTTTTATGTGAGGGAGACCAAGAAGCCGGGTGGAATATAATGGCAATTTAAAAGTAAATTGAAACAAAATCCTTTAACAAAATACTATTTATTTTATCTCATTTTCTCTATAATCCTATTAACACAATTAATATATAATAATGATATTATTATTATTAGCAAAATATTACTTATGTACTGAAATATTTCAAACTACCAATTCAGAGCCTACATTTCAACTCCTGGTGCTTCATAACCATATATCTATTGTTGGTTCTTCTTATTCTTATCTTCAATTTTTGATTCGTTGGAGGAGTCAATATAGCTTTGGACTTTTATCAATACCTATTAGGATTTTTTAAAATTATGAAAAACTTGATCAACTTAAATTATAAATTTATTTGAAATTTAATAAATTTTAATATATTATCAATTTTTGATATATAATATATCAAATTAATCATTTTATATGGATTTTGGATTTGATATTCATATTTTATATATATATGAAAAAATATATGTACCTATATAAATAAAAACTAATTTATGTACTATATCCTAATTTGTAAATAATAAAATATTAATTATCAATTAAATTTATCTATCAAATCTATTATATGATATAAGTTAAAAAAAAATTATAACACGGGACGAGCGAATCTTAAGTGATGTTAAATAAAAATAAAAAATAATTATTTGAAAACATATTGGAAAATTTAATTAATTTCTAACAAAATATTTTCTTGTACGGTTTGATTCTTTTCGATTTGGGATTCGAGACTACTAGAATTGTTACCGATTCGGTTCGAATTGGAGTAATGGTGACTTTCAATTACTTTTTCAAACTTCTTTTTCGAGTACTATCTAGTCAATTTTAAATTTTGATATTTTTTTTTTTCCACATTCATAAATATTTAACCATATTAAACATTTTATGCTCAAAGATCTCAGAGTTCCTCATGGCTGTGGAGAACTTGGATGGCTGTGAAAAATAAACACAGGCAGTGTTTTAGAAGGACCATTGGAGATGGTTTAACAACCAATATTTGGAAAGATTCATGGCTGCCTACTAACACTGGTATCCCAGTTCTGAAACCTAATGTTACCAATGATTGTGTTCATGTATGGGAGTTGATGGAAGCAGGGGGTGGATGGAATGTTAATTTGCTCAAAGAGATTTTTGTTGAGGAGGACTACAAAGCGGTCACTAGCATCTGCACTCTTAATCCAACAAAACCAGATCAGTGGTCTTGGAACAGGAATGCAAAGGGTGAATTCAAAGTAGCCAAAGCCTACACTAAATTTGTAGAAGGCAAACTAAGGAACCTTGATATTGTTATAATAATGAGTGTAGAATTAATTATGCCAACAATATCTTGCATATTGATTGCTCAGATGATGGAATCTCCACCCAACCAATTGATTAATTTGGTGGTTAGCATATTAGATGGTTGACTTGCAATTGGTGATTAATTAAGTGGTTTGGTATCAACCAATTCATTTATTAGTCCAACCATATTATTATTGCTATGCTCTCTATCCCATCTATAAATAGAGGACTTGGTGGAGAGGAAAAAAATGCACAAGAAGAAAAGGGAAGAAAGTGAGAGAAAAAGAAATAAAGAGATATATAAATAATTTTGGAGGGATAAAAATATTAAAGGGAAAAATATAGAAATATTTATTTGTTATCAAAATAACAAAAGAGAGATATTTTTATTTTTATTTTTTAGTGCTCAATTCTCGACTCCGTTCCAGTTCGCCGGAGCTCGTAAATCTGGTGTGCTACAGATTTAGAGACGTTTGCCGTTGTATCTTTGGGGAAGTTACGCCAGAACCGTTAGCTGCCACACGGGGCGTATTCTTCTTGCGGAAAGAGTTTTACTCGCCTCGGCTAAAATCTTTCCGTTTGTGTTTTTAAATTTTTTTTTTCCAGTTGTAATTTATTTTTTCAGTTCAATTGTAATTTTCTATTTTTAGATTATTTGTAACTAAAAAAAAAAAAAAAAATTATATCAGTTCGTAGGATTCCCGTGTACTTTTTATACCCGAATAAAAACAATCGCAAGAAGAATATATCAACCTACTGGACTGATGGCTTCCACCGGAAATGGTTCCAACACTCAGCATCTGATCAATCATGTACCTGCTGTCCATGTCCCTACTGCCGAGAAGCCCGAAAAATTCAATGGGCTTGATTTTAAAAGGTGGCAACAAAAGATGCATTTTTACCAGACCACTTTGAGTTTGGTGAAATACCTGAAGGACGACCCCCCGGTTATTGCTGAAAATGAGACCAATACTGAACTACGCACTGCGTACGAAGCTTGGGGGCAAGGTGATTACCTTTGCCGTAACTATGTCCTGAACGGACTTAGTAACGAGTTGTACAATGTGTACAGCTCGGTTGGTTCTGCCAAAGAGCTTTGGGCTGCTTTGGAAAAGAAGTACAAGACCGAGGATGCCGGGGCGAAAAAATTCGTCGTCGGAAAATTTCTTGAATTCAAAATGGTTGACACAAAGACCATTGTGTCACAAGTGCAAGAATTCCAACTCATCTTGCACGATATTCATGCTGAGGGAATGTCTCTGAGCGAGTCATTCCAAGTTGCGGCTGTGATTGAAAAACTGCCGACGGGTTGGAAAGACTTCAAGAACTACCTTAAACATAAGAGGAAGGAAATGAGTCTTGAAGACTTGATTGTTCGTCTTCGTATTGAGGAGGACAATCGTAATTCATCGAAGAAAATTCCGATGATGGAGGCTCGTGCTAACTTGATAGAGCAAGGCAACTCGAGCAAGAGAAAGTCCCTAGACAAAGGGAAGCAGCCTGCCAAGGTTTGGAAGTTTACCGGAACTTGTTATAATTGTGGAAAGCCGAACCATATGGCTAAAGACTGCAAGAGGCCAAAGAAGTCTGGGCCAAAGAAAGGTAAACCGAGTGTCCTTGTTGCTGAACACTGCCCTGTGCCGGGTGAACTAACCGACTTTGATATGTCGGCTGTGGTGTTTGAAGCCAATATGGTGGATAACCCAAGAGAGTGGTACATCGATACTGGTGCCACTCGTCATGTGTGTTCCGATAAGGAGGTATTTTCTAAATACACTCCTGCTAAGAGTCGGAAACTTTACATGGCAAACTCCGCCACGGCTGATGTGGCTGGAGTGGACACTGTGGTGCTGAAGCTGACTTCTGGAAAGGAGTTGAAACTTAAGGATCTTCTGCATGTCCCAGACATCCGCAAGAATTTGGTCTCCGGATCTCTTCTTGTTGAGCATGGATTTAGGCTGGTATTTGTTGCTAAGAAATTTGTTCTTAGCAAGTTTGGAACTTTCCTTGGTCGTGGCTATCTCGACAAGGGTATGTTTAAAATGAATGTAATGGCCGTGAGCCGTGTAACCGTTTTAAATGATAATGAAAAGCCTATTTCTGTTTATACCGTTGAGTGCTCTGATTTATGGCATATTAGATTGGGACATGTAAATCGAAATGCAATTAAACGGTTGATGAATTTAGAATTAATTCCTAATTCTAAAATTGAATCACATAAGAAATGTGAGATTTGTATTGAAGCAAAAATGGCTAAGTTGCCTTTTCATTCGGTGGAAAGGTGTACTGAACCATTAGGCTTAATCCATACTGATGTATGTGATATGAAAAGTGTGCAAACAAGAACGGGTAAAAAGTATTTTATTACTTTTATCGATGACTGCACAAGGTTTTGCTACTTATATTTATTAAGAAGCAAAGACGAGGCTGTGGAAGCATTTAAGATTTATAAAACCGAAATTGAAAATCAACTCGACAAAAGGATTAAAATAATCCGAAGCGATAGGGGTGGGGAGTATGTAGCTCCTTTTGAACAAATATGTTCCGAATATGGCATAATTCATCAAACGACTGCCCCTTATTCTCCACAGTCAAACGGTGTTGCTGAACGCAAGAACCGTACTTTAAAAGAAATAATGAATGCCATGTTGATAAATTCAGGATTACCTCAAAACATGTGGGGGGAAGCTGTTTTAACAGCAAATCATATTCTGAATAAAATACCACCTAAAGGGAAAGATGAGACTCCTTACGAAATGTGGAAAAATCGTAAGCCGTCTTATAAATACCTGAAAGTGTGGGGGTGTTTGGCTAAAGTTTCAGTACCAGAACCCAAACAAATGAAAATCAATTGGAGTAATGGTGACTTTCAATTACTTTTTCAAACTTCTTTTTCGAGTACTATCTAGTCAATTTTAAATGTTGATATTCTTTTTTATTTCCACATTCATAAATATTTAACCATATTAAACATTTTCTGTTGAATTCAACATTAGAAATTCTTGAAATAAATTAAAATTTTAGTTAACACTAAATTCTTGCACTTAATGATGGATATTTGAAATCCTAACAAATATAAAAGAATATTAAAGAAAATGATAATTTTTTTAAAAAATTAATATCGTTTTAAATATAAAATGGAATAAGAGTAAGAAAAATAGCAACAAAGAAAAATAGCAACAAACGTAATATAAATAAATTTTCAATAAAAAAAAACTAACGTTGACAAAGTATTATTATTAAGTATGAAATATAAGTGCAGTTTAATTTATTATTAGTATACGTTATTAAGTACTTTGAAAATACTAAAAACTAGTATTCGATCTTGTGCACATGTACAAATGTAAATAAAATTTATCCGATATATATATGTGTTTTATATAAAATTTAAAAATCATATGTTAGATAATAGGCATATCACATTTATAAACGTTATCATTAGAAAAAATGAACAATATAAATATAAAGTATTTAACTTACATATTAATCTTTTAATTTATGCAATCTTGACTGATTATGACAATTAATTGGATAAAACAAATATTGAAATTATTATTATAGCAATTGTGTACAAAATTTTAAAGGGTTTGTTTATGCCATAAAAAATAGTTAACTAATTTTAATATAAAAAACCATCCTAATGAGGTGTAAAAAGAATAATAATAATTTTATATAAATAGTGAAAAAAAGCTTTAGAATAGAATACATTTAACGTGACTTCATTATTAATTAATAGTAACAATTATATAATAAAATAAATAAATAATATAATTATTTGATTAACAAAAGTAATGGAAAAAGGCGAAAAAACAAAAAGAGTTTTATTAAATTCTTTGCTAGCAATTATTTATTTATAAGACTAAAGTTAATGAAATGAATAAGACACATGATGTTAAATTCGATTCTTAATTTTAGTTTTTCAATTTGGTACATTATGAAATAGTTAGTTCAGTTCTCGGTACGGATAATCATAAAATTTACAAAATCTACCAATTATTTTTTGATTCATTTCGGAGAAAATCAAAATAGTAACGGTTATTTTTCTATTTGGAGTGATTTTAGTTTGATTTTTAGAATGGTTGTATCACCCAAAATCACTCATTCATGCGAGACCGGTGCAGTGACCAGGGGCGGATTTAAATAGGATCCTGTAGGGGCACAGGTTCCAGTGCAATTTTTAAAAATATTTTGTATGTATATATACACATAATTACACTTTTAGATATTTATTTTATATACCATAATTTTATTGTAACAAGAATATAATTTAAAAGTTTAATATCATAAATTTAAATATATAATGGTTGAAGATCAATCATTCCGTCTAAATATGTTAACATGTTTATATTTAACACAAATTCTCATGTGAGGCGGTCTAACCGTTACGTTGATTGATTTGCCATATTTTTCAAACAAAAATGCATACTTATGATATTTTCTAATAAAAATATGTATATTTGTTGAAAAGTATGTCGACATAATGTAATGTCTAACACAAGACTAACCCTGTATTTAAATATTTAAAGTTTCCGTAACTCCACTTTCTATCTTATTCTTAAAAAAGAAATTAGATTAAAAGATAAATAAAAATTTAAAGTGTACCCCTCGTGTTTGTGAAGCCTGCGTCCGCCCCTGACGGTGACCTAACAATAGTAAATTTTGTATGGTCACTATTCACATAGAAGAGAAATGCGCCAAATATCATTAGTTTACTAACCATGGGGACTTCAAGGCTTCGACATTGAGCACCGTATCAGTGCCCAACTTGAGGGACAAAGAGGGAAAAAAAATAAAAATTCCCAGGAAAGTCACTTTCTGAAGAATGAGTGATGAATTTGCACTTCTGTAGTTAATCAATTTTTTTATTTTTATTTTTTCATCAAGACTCATAGTGGGACTTAACACCGCTCCTGTTATACGCTATAAATAAGAAATTTGAGTTGGTTTCAACTATTCCAGTTTAGGAAGGTATTTGATGAAATGCAATCAAATGTAACATTGAACTGCAAAAGGGCCTATGCAAAACAGCACTCGAGATTTTCACCTCCAATGCGCAACAAATCCATAAAAACAAACAAATTGAAGACAAGACGAAGCACAACATGCTGACTGTAGCAAAACACAGAAATGACCTTCGAAATCCACCAAGATATGATTATTGAGAGCAAACATAGAGAAAATCAATAAGTTACAAACACAGAGCTAAAAACTCCTGGACGAGACATGATTATGTAATTAAATAAAACAATCCAGAAATGTGGCAAATACACAGAAGGCAACAAACTCGTGAGAAAACACGAGAGGAGCTGCACACACACTGATATGGAAAGATTGCAAGGGTATGATTCAAATCTTTTTAACCTCTCAACTTCTACAGAAATGCATCCTTCTCAAGCAAAGTTAGCACCTCCTTTTGGTTATTTAGTTTGGCGACATCAATGGGTGTCTTCCCATCTAGATTCTGAAGAGTACTGCATGTATGAAAAGAGAAATATTTCTAATGAAAATTAATAAAACGACATTATCCCACAAATTCAAACTTCTCTTTGACGTTAGTTAATTAAATATACCGGCAGAGGGGGCAGTATTTGTTAGTAAGTGTAATTACGAAAGACGTTTGAATCTTCTCTTTTCTTTTTACCCCCTAAAAGATGGTCTATTAAAACATATTTAGAAATTAGATTATCTGAGTGAAAATGCTTACACAGCAGCACCGCTTTTCAACAAAAGCTCGACACAGTCCTTTCGACCATAACCGGCAGCATAATGGAGGGGAGTGTTCTTATTCTTATCCAAACCATCCACCTTAGCCCCAGCCTCTAGAAGAACTTGAGCACATTTAACCTGTCAATAGGATTGATTGATATAAATCAGCTTTCAGATCAAGGGCCTAAATAAAGGAGCAAAAAGCTAGCTACAACTACACACGACATCATCAGCAAATCGGACTCACAAGGAAACAAGAAGAAAGGGCTTAAGAAAAGAAAGTTCCGCCTTTATTAAGAAAAGAAAGTTCCAAGCATATCATCAGCAGCAAATTAATGAAATTAGATATAACCGAAAATGGGGAGAGCAAAATAAATTAAAAGAAGAAGAAAAAAAAACTGTTGTTATAGGGTAAATGCAAGAACTACACTCCAGCTCAAGNGTATACTGAGCTTTCTATAGATCATCAGCATGCATAACAAGAAGAATCAGAAAAGAAAGAAAAAAAAAAAAAGAAAGAAGCATTCCAGACATGCCTTTTTCGTAAGTGAACATATCATAGCTAACCCTTATGTTCAACATAAATCAGACCTTGAATAATTTTTGCAATTCAGACCATATGTTCAACACAAATCCGACCGTGAATAGTTTCAGGGCTTTTTTTTCCTTTCCTTCTTTATTTTCAGTAATTACCCTAAACCTCAAGGGTAGCTTTTGCAATTCATCCTCAAGTGTATTATTAATACCTCGCCATATCCACATGCAAAATGCAATGCAGTCCTTCCTTCAGAATCCTCTTCATCTTTATCAGCACCACCAGCCAGAGCACTCTTCAGGCCCTAATTGTTTCATATAAGCAAGTACACAATTAGTTAATTAAACATTCCATCCTCAACAGTGAAATGACAAGTAAAGCAACATCTTGGAAACAATTCAAAACTCCTTAGGTATTCTTCTCATGCAATTTCAAAACAATTGATAATTGGAAAACGGTGTAAAATGGTATATTTCAAATAATTCAATTGATTTTGGGTGTAATTTACAAAATCTCAATTACACGAGGCACACCTCCACATCACCAACACTGGCAGTATGATGAACGATAGATTCCTCGTCATTTGCTTCATCTGTCTCATCTTCACCAGGAGCATCACCTGCAGACGCAGCACTTTCACCGACAGCAAACCCCATTGCTTCCCCTAACTTCTTAAGGACCTCCTTATCATTCCAGTACCTGATTGAAATTCGAGAGAATGATTCAAAGAGTGGTTCAAATGGACTTAACTAAAAGAATAATAATAATAATAAAAAAAAAATATATCTAAATAAGTGTTATCAAGGGAAAGACAACACGTGATGGGACTACATAGCCAATATCATCCCACGTATAAATCGTTCAAAAACAAGCAATCATACTATCCGGCTATCCGCAGAGTGCTATCCAACACTCATGCCACAAAATTATCCTATCCCACCAAGATAAGTAAATGAGCCTTTAGGGAAACTTAGATGAAAATAAAGACCTCATCATAGCAGCAGGACCACCATTCTCAATCTCTTCCAGAATAGGCTTCAAAGACGGATCTTCTTTGATGTGAGACATCCTTTCTTCAAGTTGTTCTTTGTTAGTTGGGTTTGCCAAACTCTCGAGCATGCCAGACATGGCAGGATCCTGCAGCAAAAATAAATTTAAATGCATACATTTACTGATAGCGACTCTATCCAGACGGGGGATATTAGGATACTCAGATATTATCCCATTACGAGTTGGTTAATTACACATGCAAAATAAATCAAAGAATAAATAAATACTACAAAAAGGTTATCATCCACCTAGCATTTGGCACCAGCAACAGCCTGCCCACGTGTCGAGAATGTGATCCAATAGTTTTTACAATTTCAAAACTATTTGTTCTTTTTCATTTTGTGCAGCTAAAAAAGGAGCATGGATGGTTTTTCTAATCATCCCTAACATTATATTTTATAATAAAGAAGAAATACCTGCATCAATGCACTACCCAGTCTCTCGGCCATGGTCATGAACTGTGGATTTTGCATGACTTGTTGCATCGTCGAATAATACTGCTGTGTGTCAAAGTTGGGAATACCATCTTCAGCACCAGAACCAGCACCTTGAAAGGTCTTCTGTAGCTGTTCCGCCATTTCATTAAATGAAGGATCCTTTGCTATCTGTTGGGCTAATTCCTTGATACTAGGGTCCTGTAGATAAAGGAAAAAGAAAAGAGGCCAAAATCAGGGAAAATATATGCCTATATAGAACCCAGAAAATCAAAATGTCATGATTATAGAAAAATACAGTTATATTGCACTATCTTTTTGGGGGAAAGGCATTTTAAAGGAACATATTTATTTGGTTAAAAAGCAGGAAGAAAAATACACACATTAAGCAGTCCAGACATAGCTGAGAAGTCAAAGGGATTTGGCATCCCAGCAGCTGAAGCAGGGTTTGTTCTTCTCTGTCCAGGTTGGGTTTCTGTAGAAGACGACTGAGGGGGAGCTTTGCGTCCGGTGGCATCAGACTTCTCTCCTGGATAACAAACATGAAACATACCAGTTAGCTGTAAACTGAATAGTCTAAATATCAACTGTGGAGTAAACGAAGGAAACTATTATAGATTTAAGTGCGTTCTGTCAACAAACCTAGTTTGGAAATTCAAACAGAAAACCAAACACATCAGTGAGACGGTCAGATTGCAATACAATACAATTTTCTTATATTTGATTTTGAAAGCAAATATTTACTTGGGATCACACGTAAAGATTTGACATAATTACAAATAAATTAATAAAGAAAAGAAACATAAAAAGTATTATCGCTTGTTTCTTAGTAAGCCTCAGCCTGATAGATATTAATTCTTGAAAATGAACAGAACTCTTTCTTGATCCCATGGAAGCACTTTAAACTCAGACCTAACATTTCACATAAATTAATAAATAGCTGAAAGAGCACACGTGAATAAAACCCGAGAAAAGACGAGCTCACCATCTTTAGCGGCCGAAGGAGATTTCAAATCCTGAAAACTCACAAAAAGAAAAATCTTAACAATATATTCTTGAAAAACCCGAAACAACCCAGGATTTTGAATCGATTCATAAAGGTATACTCCAAAACAAATCATCAGAAAGCAAACTCCCCTAAGTACAAGCGATTGGGATTAAGAA